ATATTAATATTATTCTGCGTCAAATATAAAACATTGATTTCTACTGTGATATGTAAAGGCACGAACTTACGTTAATACATACACATATTTTTTTTTTTGTAACCAAGAAGGTGCACCATGGTAATACATTTAACAAACACATCAACATGTTACCTAGACAACTCATCACCATAGCCATTGTAAAACCATATATTAATGATACATGTAAAATATAGATTGAAGCAATTCTCGTCGATTGGCTGTATCCTGAGTGTGATTTATATAATGGATTTTGAGTAACATTTGCATCTACCTGTAGTTGAAGAAAAGATACAGTGTATAACATCAATTAAGTTGGAGTTCAATTAGAAGGAAGTAACGAGGAATGTTGAAGCAAGGGAGACTGGGAGATGAGGAAAGCAGGAAGTTAGAAATTGAGAGATTACTCGCGTGATAGCCTTGCATTAATGAATCCTTTATATAATGTTGTCTTGAGAGAAAGTAGACGATTTTTTTTTAAATTGGAGATTAGTGCAAGTATTAGATATATTGGAAATAGAATTAATGAGAAAGTTATTTTTTTATCGAGATCAATACATGGGGGGGGGGGGGGCACCATCAAAATAGGGCACTTTCTGGAATATAAGGTGCACCTACAAAGGGAAACATCAAAATGTAAATCTACCATATTAAGACATTGATAGACGTACGCGTAACGCATGTCACACACAGAAAAATGAGAAGAAAAGAAAGAATAATTTTTTTTAAAGAAGATAGAGGAAAGGAGAGAGACAGAGAGAGGGAGAGAAAGAAAGAAAGAAAGAAAAAAGGAAGAACATGAAACTTCACTTTACACTTAGGCCTACATATTATTACATTTCCGACTGAGTTGGCTCGACATGTGCTTAAGTAGTCTGCGGACGAAAGTACAACAATACGAAAACAGAAGTTATATGAAATTGTTTAAGAGAGAAAGAGAGGTTAAATTCTAAAATGAAATGAAAGGGGTTATGTGACTTTCAAGGAGGAAATTACAATTTCTATCGCTCATGACGACTATTTGGAATTTCCTAATTTTTTTTAAAGTTCAAGAACTTCCTGGGGCTCCGCCCCATGCAAGACTCTCGGCAACAGCAAATTATTTACACAATTTCTTGCTGTCTGCTGCCTCGAGATCACTGGAGCGAAGAAAGAAAGTAACATATAGCAAGAATCCCTATTCAGTGAAGGATTTATCCCTTTATTATTAAAGACTCCCGACAAAGGCTCTCCCCCTGCAAAATTGGAGAGAGTTTTATGTAGTTTAAGCTTCTAACAACCACGCCCGTGGACCTTTTATTAGTTACACAAAGGTAAAAGTGTATAGCAAGAATCCCTATTTAGTGAAGGATTCATCCTTTTTATGCAGATGCTTCTTCTACCATTCTTGACCAGAAGTGCGTTTCAAACTCAATGATATGGGCATCATCCCATTGAATGTTGTGTCCAGTGTTACGGGTTGTTTTGCTACTTGCTGCCTAATCTGAGGGCTCTGTTGTGCTCTTTAAAAAGATGACACAATAGGGGCGGCGCAATTTAAATATCAAGGAATGTATTAGAGTTTATTTCTAAATGAAATGAAAGGGCTATTTGACTCTCAATAAAAACTCTAATCCATCCCTTGAAATTTAAATTGCACTGCCCCCATTCAGTGTGCCATTTTCAAAGAGCACAAAAAGTCTTCAGATTGAAGATTCCATCTCATAAAATCGTCTATAAGAGAGAAAGAGGGTTTATTTCGAGAGAAAAAATGAAATGAAAGGGCTATTTGACAAGAGCCCTTTCATTTCATTTTAGAAATAACCTCTCTTCCTCTCTTATGCTATGGTCACATTACCCAAAAGTAGCCTGCTCGGCGGCCGAGCGGCGAGTTTTTAACCAATTCTGCCCGGCGGCTGCCCGGCCACCGAGCGGCGACCGGCAGGCCACCGAGCGGGGACCGGCCAGTCACCGCTCGTTGTTAGGGCATCGCTCGGTCGCCGCTGAAGTTTTAGCGCGGAGTTAAAATTTGGGCGGCGCCTGCCCACTTTTCACCCGCCGCCCAAAATACGCTCGGTGCCTGGGCGGTCGCCGCCCGGGCACCGAACTAATCGCTGGGCGATGCCTAATTCCAGCAGCGACCGAGCAGGCTACTGATCGGTCGGTCGCTGCTCTAATTTGTGACCATAGCTTTATAGACAATTTTCTCTCTTGAAAGTCAATAACCCTTTCATTTCATTTTAGAAATAACCTCTTTTTTCTCCTAAAGACAATTTCTCTCTTGAAAAGGCTCTGCCAGACCCCTCAAGCTCTGCCATGTTGTATGGATCCATTAGAAAGCAAAATAAGCCCACTCAATAATTGATATAAATTATATTAAAACGTCATAGCCAGGGCTCAAATTAATTTTTTGTCCACGGGGGCTCTTCCCCCCCCCCCAAAAAAAGAGCCCCCGTGAGCCTTCTCACGGGGGCTCTTTTAGTACTGACGGGGGCTCTTTTTTATACAAATATCCATTGAATTGGTACCTATGATACTCCTCAATTATTTGCTATTTCATCATTATCATTCCAATCAGCATTTTCCCTCTTACAAATTTACAAGCTACATAGCTGTTACTGGCCTGTGTATATAATATATACGCATACAACACTGATCTTTATGATGTCTTTAACGTGACATATCTTCTTCTCCCCTTGCAAACGAGAAAGAAAACAAGGTCATTAAAAGGGATTAAGCGACAAATAATGATTGTGATTCAAATTGATGCGAATATTTGTTTGAATAAGCACTGCTATTCACCCGAATCTTCTTTGTAAAAACAACTTTTACAAATCTCAGTCATGCTTACTGAGTTGAGACGTTCCATTCAATGTAAAATACTCATTAAAGAATATACTTCTCCTAATCTGAAAGTGATCTTACAACACAGTGGCAGATTTGCATGGCTGAGATTTGTAAAAGTCGTTTTTACAAAGAAGATTCTGGTGAAAAGCATTGCTTATTCAAAAAAAATCCTTGCATCAATTTGAATCACAATGATTATTTGTCGCATGATCCTTTTATTAAATAACCTTGTTTCTTTTTGTTTGCAGGGGAAAAGAAGCTATGTCACGTTGAGAAATCATAAAGATCAGTTGTATTATGCGTATATACATTATGATACCAGAACAAATGTTGATTATCAGAATGTCATTTTGGAATACCTCTAAACAAATACCACATTGTCTTTAGCCCGTATCAGTTCTTTGGAGGGGCCGGGCGCGGCCTTTTCAGAAGTGTTTCTACACTAACCTTTTCATGCACTCCGGCTTAACATAAACAAGCATGCTAAGATTGTTTTGAAAAGAAGCATAATTTCGACTCAGTTTCGCATAACCTAAAAATAAGAATACGGCCAGTCACCCCTTCCCCCCCCCCCCCCCCTCTCCTCAATGCATCCGCCTTCACGCACCCCTTCCCTTTGTCTTTCCCTTATTCGTCGTTACTGCCATTATCACTAATTTTTAGTGCCATTTCGTTGTCTTTCTTTCTCCCCGGCTCCTCTCTTCTTTTTCTTTCCTCTTTTTTGAACTCTCTCTTTCTTTTCTTTACTTTTTTGTTCTCTTTTCTTTTATCTTCTCCTTTTTCCCCCTTTTTTCCTTCTTTTTCTTTCTCTTTTTTTCCTTCTCAATTTTTTTGCTTCGCCAATAGGGGGGGCCGCGGCCGTTTCGGCCCACCCCTGGATCCGCCACTGATCTATGTTTACACTGTCCAGGATTGTCTGATGTGCATTGCAGATTGCTACTTTTGTGCTTCGCGCTTAACATTTAGCTCGTTGCTTTTGATGCTGCGTCTTTGCATTTGGCGCACTGCATTTCTATGATGCTGTTGATTGAAACAAATTGAATAAATTCATCAATTCCTGATGAAGCCGTATGAGCGAGAATTCAATTTATTGTTGTCTCATATACGGTTGTCTTATTTACTTCGTATGTATGTATGTATTATGAAAATGAGATAGCAAAATGTGTATATTGATGGTCATATTGATGGTCATCTTGCGAGTAATAACCACGTACTAACTACTCTCATCGGACTCTCATCATTGATTTTTCTCTTCATTTTTTTATTTTTTATGGTGAATTATTGGGGGGGGGGATGATTGTACAGGCCATCCCCCCCCCCCACCTGAAATATTGGGGGGGGGATATATCCCCCCCCCCCCCCCCCCCCCCCGGGATCGACACCCATGCTCCCTTGTATAGAGAACAATAAACAGTAAAACATAATACAATATTATAAATATGCTAAATTACACTCAGTACATTAGAAATATAATAACATGATGTAATAAGAAAAGAAATAAGAAAAAGCAACAACAATGATAAATAATAATGATAATGATAGTAATGACGATTATAACAATAATAATAATAATAATAATAAATAAAATATATAAACATGAGTAATGTAACAAACCCAACATGAATGGTTTAATAAAGAAGTGTACATCGAAAGCTGTATTTTAACAAAATACTCTTTAAAACAAAACTTTATTTTGGACAAGAATAGAAAAGATTATTGAATATAGACTTTCTAGAGGCTTGTGTAGGTACTATCTTATATACATAGGTCTACGTATGTATGGTGTGTATGTGATATAACAAATAATCTGCACTGTTAAGAAACACTAACAAAGCCATGAATGTTTTGCTTACGATATTATTTTCAGATAGATAAATATTTATAAAAAAAAATAAACATATTAAAAAAAAAAAAAAAAAAGAGAGATATAACACGTGACGTTAAGTATTTTGGCAACAATAGTCACCAACTGACTAATCACCAACATGCCAAAACATAATAACAACTGAATCGCATCGGCATTCATTCTTTCCGAGAACATATTAACAGTAAGGAGTTAAAATTCCCTGCCCTCAGAAATTGTTGCAGCGCCATCTGTTGGAGTATGCTCGAGTTGTCCAGGATATTAGGTCGGGTTTCTCAGGGTCGGGCTGTCTGTGGGTCGGCCTTATCTAGGATTCCAAAATAGTGTTATGTAGTACTTGTATTATTCCCCCCTCCCTTCAGTCATTCACCTTTCATTCACCTTTCTCCCACCTGCTCCATGATAAAACAGAACCCACTATCCCATTACTTTTTATTATAAACAATTGACCACTAATGACCACCCAAGATTTAGATTCCAGGAACGAACCACATTCCAATAACTATGACTCATACTAGGCCCAAACCCCAGTCACTTACACTCTCCATAGCCACTCCCCATAATATCATGACAACCCTGACCATTGACCAATGATAAGCATGAATAAGTCACCCCTCCCAACATTGGTTTTCTCCCCAAACTTTCCTGAATGTAAAGTTGGAGAATGATAGGGACTTTTGGTTTCAGCCATCAACCGCTGAACAAGGGTTTTGAGATAAACTAGCTACAGATAATATTGTGTATCTCGGATTCTAGAGTCATCTACTAGAGAGTCATTGTGTTATGTACTTAAGCAAGAAGATTGAATAAATGTTGCTGAAACTGTAAACAAGCCTCCTCGCCTCATCTGTTATGCTCCTCGCCTCAATCACCGATCCCAACACAACAATAGTACACCATTATCGGTACGGTATCACCATCAGCAAAGTCGAAAACGCTAGCACAACATGGCATTAAAAAGAATACAGAAGGTAAGCCCATGAAATTGGAACATTATCATGCACAGTTGAAACAGGGGTAGATCTAGGCCTAGATCTATGTTGTTAGTGCTAGACCGAAAAGTCAGTCTATTTATTTCGTTGGTCTAGACCTGTCTTGATCTAGATCTAAAGTTAGAGTCTAGACTACAGATCATGAGATACTATGCTATGCCTATGTCACTGATGTGACACTTGTATTCATACGCATTATTACTTAGCAGTGCATTGACTAGACCGAATTTTCCGTCTCTTTCATTCGTTAGCCACTTATTGGGGTAGGGTCGGCCGGCTCTCTCTTTAGAGACGGAAGCCGTCTATACACATGTCCTTGCTAACGCCACGACCAGTTCTGGTCGTAGCGTTTTGCCCCCAAAATCCGGCCGACCCTACCCCAATAAGAGGCTAACGAACGAAAGAGACGGAAAATTCGGTCTATGCATTGACATGATTGACTCTATGCTTTGCTGGAGTCGATGCTAAATGCGTAATGCGTAATTGACCTCTAACTACAGTACAGGTAGGGAGGCCAATACCCAAATTTAACATTTTAAATACTCATTTATAGACCTAATAAAAGTTAAAACAAAGTTTAGAGGTTTAAACAAAAGTAGGGTAGCGCGCCCAGTATTCGGTCCATTCCCAGTATTCGGTCAGACAGCCGTTTCAACAGCTGTAACAATTTAAAAAATAATTTATGAGCCACGAAACTTGCACAAACAGGCAGCTGAACAACTTTTCTTAACTCTCAAAATTAAATCAGATTTAGGCCCCGGAAAGATCTCCAACTAAGCTCGAAATTGGTCAGTGTCGCACAACTTTCTGCACTTCTGCGCTAACATGCATAGCCATATGTATACTCAATAAATGAGGTGTCATATGAAAGATAACATATAAACATATCTTGGTCAAAACAGCAATTTAAACATTGTGTCCTGGCTAACTTTGAGGTTTGCCACTTTTGAGATATGACGCCCCGATCGATAAGTAGTCCCAGTCCTAAGGAACATTCTATCGTCAGACACCAATCCAACCACAAGCTTCACTCCACTCTTCACTCTCACAAGGACAAGCACCCATCCAACAAACAACCAGGCGTCTACAAGATTCCCTGCGATTGCGGCAAAGTCTACATTGGAGAAACCGGCCGCGATTTCGACACCCGACTTAAAGAACACAAGACCCCACCACCGACGCAGCGACTGGGACAAGTCAGCCATCGTCAAGCACGCACAACAAGAGCTCCACCGCATTCACTGGGATAAAAGTCACCTCATCACCACCATCCGACATTGGCACACCCGAAGGATCCGAGAAGCCATCGAGATCCCCAACACAACACCGTACCCCAAGACCCAGGCCTTCACATCAACAGTATCTGGCACCCAATCCTCCCTCACCATCCTACTTCCGACCAATCTTCAACCAACTCCACAACCAACACGCCAACCACCAACACTTCACCAATCCATCCATCCGTCAGCCCGGACACCACCTTCAACCACCCAACCACACCCACTCAACAAGCACTACACATTCTCAACTAGCCACCTCACCCACACAAGCACCACCCATGCCAACACCTCGCTACAACCTACGCCAACGCCGAAACCGCCGACCAACACACACAGAGCGACACCACTAATAGCCGTCCTCACCGCCCGATCGATACACCCACTCAACGACCGACACACCCCCCCCCCCCGCTACCCCGCCGACACCAACCACACGACGTCCGCATAGCCGCCGCCCGCCCACTCGTTTCCCGCCATTCACACAACCGCGCGCCACACCGACAGCTGCCTGCCAACCTGCCGAGCCCGCCGGCCCAGCGCTTTCCCCCAAGTCCGCATTCACGCCATAAGAACCGCCGCACGCCTAGCGAACACTCACTCTGGAAGACGGACAGTCAACCTGTCCGAAACGTCGAGTCTACTCTCTTGCTCTTGCTCTGCAACTCTACTCGCCTACTCAACTCTCCAACTCAATCCAGTCTTCTACTCAAACCTCTCATCCTGCCTACAACTTTCTGGTTTACAGTCCTTTTCAGGACTATACTCACTTCCGAAAGATACTCTTCCTTCCAACCTCCACTTTCTCGCCTTTCCATCTCACTTCAATTTTCTATCTACTTTCCTCAGTCCCTCGAGGACTTTACACATGGTGTACCGTAAACCTCTTCCGTGAACAATTCTATGCGCTCATATTTTCGCTAGCCCCCAGGGATCACAACTGATTACAGTTTAAAAATACCCTTCCCGCTATTTGGTGGATCAGCCAGGCGCGGATCCAGGATTTTCCAATAGGGGGGGCCGGAAATTCGAAAATCGCGCAGACCGTTATTTCAACTTACTGGTACCTACATGGAAAGGGGACATGCTCAAGTCACGTCTCTTGTCCGATATCAACATTCCCCGTTTTTAAGTTATGCTCGCGCGCAATCTTTTTGACATTTCCATCAGTAGGGCTGAAGCCTCTTGCCACAATATCTATTTTCTTGTTTCATAATTTGGCGAGCGAGCGGAAATTTGAGCATATGTATTTTTTGTTACCAAAATATACGAGATAAGATATAAAAAATGCATATTGGTAATTTTTAAATTTTAGGGGAAAGAGAGGCTGCACACATCCCGCATTAACTGCAGGTGTTTTGAAATGAAATCAGACTCCTCAAAAAATTAATAACCAAAACGCACGAATCCAGTTTCAAAAATCCAAAAAAATGTCAGCTTCAGAGGGGGGGGGGGGCACATCCCCCTCAGACTCCCTCTAAAAGTATTAACCGAATCGCACGAATCCAGTTAAAAAAATTCAGCTTCAGAGCTAGAGAGGACACCCCCCCCCCCCCCCCCCCCCCCCCCCCCCCCCCCCCCCAGTCACCCCTGTGCGCGCAAGCGCGAGATTAACGCTGGCTCGTCCTGGCGCTAATGCATACAGTGTAAGCAGGGACGGCGGAGCTATTTCTAAAGTGGAAAGCACCACCAAAAAAAAAAACGGCACCTACAAAGCGAAATCTTAAAGCGAAAATATACATTTTTTTAGACATTGGTATATACCCCTTCATTGTGATTCAATTATCAGGAACGATTTCAATATTTGTTTTTCTTTATATATTATACAAGAATTTGGAGAGGGGCTTGGAGAGACACTTAATATGGAATTTTTAATGGGTCACTGAACCTGTCATGAACTGACAGATCACTATTGATGATGATTGCTTAAGCATCACACTTTCGGCTGGGTGTGACTGTCTGAATATTCATTTGCGAGCGAGAAAAAAAATGTAAGATCTGTGAGGTCGCAGAATGAAAAATTACATCTTATAAAGAGGGAAAAAACAAATCATGATGGGGTTATAAGCACATTCTCATAACGGAAGACTGAAAAGACCTCTGTTAAGTGACATATAATTGTATCATCTATAAATGCGAGCGAGCGAGCTTTAGGGGAAATTACTCTTAGTCGCTTTAAATTAGGTGCAAGACTAATGATGAGAGGTAAAGGGGACACTTATCGAAAGGGATAAAGACACTTATTAGAAAAGAAAAGTAGCATGTGTCAATGTACAAAGAGTAATTTTCAAAGGTTCAAACGGGGCACTTCTTACACCTGAAAGGAGGCACTCACCAGAAATGAGATAGGGCACTTATAAGTATGGGAAATGGGCATTTGTCGACGGAAAAGGGGCATCCATCAGAAATTGATTTATCAGAGGTGAAAAGGGATAGGTCCCTTATTAGAAAGGAAAAGGGGCACGATTCAAAATAAAAGGGCAGTTAGCAGAGGTGAAAATGGGCACCCATCATAGATGAAAAGTGTACTTATCAGGAGGGGAAGGGGTACTTTTCAAAGTAAAACGAGCATCTCTCAGATTTGAATAGGGGCAACGGAGGTGAAGAGCGCACTGAAGTGAAAAGAATTAACTTTTCGTATATGAAAAAGGTCATTTACCAGAGATGAAAAAGGGTACTTATGAGAATGAAAAGGGACACTTTCTATTTATGAAGCGCCTCATTTTTCTAAACAGCCTTTATCAGATAGGAGAGGGGGCACATGTGTTGATAAAATGTACGCTTATCCGAGTTAAAAGGGTAGCTCTAAAAAGGGAAGGGGCAGGGGCACTTCTTACAAAGTAAAAGTGGCCCTTTGGGGGTACTTGAAAAGTGGGGGTAACTTTTCCCCCTACCCCTGCCACCCGCCCCATCATCTAAAAATCCAAAATGATGTTGTATAGTGGCCGGGCGCGGCTTTATCATGAGTGCTTTTATGTGAACCTCTTTTTTATGAATTTATGCTGGATTCCGACCCAGATTGCACACCCTAAAATGATAGTATGATCATCCCCAATACGCTTGCAGTTCACGTATGCACACCTTCCTCCATATCCATCGTTACCATCACTGCCATTTACGTATGGCCGGCCGGTGTGACCGCGCCGTTTGTCCTACCAGTTTCGTTTGTCCGTCGGACATAATATGCAGGTTTTCTGCTCGCACGGATCGTCCAAGGGACGATCCGTGCGGTTTGCTATCCGCGCAGTCTGTCCCCCCATTGTTTTACGTGTATATTTGATAAAAGGAAGCAACTCGGCAAATCAATGTATTTAGACTCATTGTAAATCATGTGGTTAGCATTTTTACTAGAAATTACATAAAAATAACTCTCTACAATTTTTTAAAGCAAATGGGCCAGTCCTTTTGAAAGTAGAAGTGAATATTTTGTTTAAAACCTTTATTCTATGAAGGCATACTCGTGATATCGGCCCCACAATTACTGTTGTAATCGATTGTAATCGTGGCTGCGTACTTCAACCAACTCACTACTAGTATATACTCGTGATACAGGCCCCGCCCCAAGTATTTGGGGGCGTTTCGAGGTTAATGAAGAAGTTAAATGGGAAATAAAATTGATTAAAAATGGGGTTGAAAGTGAATGGGGAGGCTAGAGTATTTAAGATAGGTAGAGCGTAGCACAAATTGGCGGATGCTCAGGAG